AACGGAGAAATAAGTAGGCGAAGGGGAGGGGCGACAAAATGACTTGTCATGCCCCATGCGTCGCCACTCGCCAAACCCGATTCGCCATTCGCCCTGTGTGCAATTGTGATTCCTGATTCCTCCCGATTCGACATTTGCCCTCCACCATCCTCTCGCAATCACGCTCACCTGCCCACTTCCACCTCTTGCGTGCTCCCTCAATCTACACCTTCCCTTGCCTTCCTGACCTTTCTCCCTCCCGTCTCTCCCATTCTCATCCACTCACTATTTCCTGACCCTCCCGTGCCTGCGCATCCGACTGCACCAGGTCTGTGAGGGGCAACGAGTTGACTGGAACTATCCCATCATCACTGGGCGACTGCACTCGTCTCCTTGTGCTGTATGCACCATGAATGCACGCATGAACGCATTGCTCGTTTCCCTTTCTGGGTTCTTCATGCCCTCATGCGCCCCAAGGCCCCCCACGAGCCTTTGCCTGAGACCTTCCGTGCCTCCGTGCTTGTGCTTGTATACCTCGGCAGTCCTCTCCCCGACTCTCTGCCCCTCTCCACTCGTCGCTCTTCTCCGAATCCTTTTGCCTGGGTGTTTTGCATATGAATGGCCTTACTCACACTATATGTATCTCCTAGCAGCACGCCCCCAAAGTTTTTTTTCTAGCTGCTCTCACGCTGTCATCCCCAACACCTGTAACCTCCGCACAGGGACTTAGGTCGGAACAACCTCACGGGAAGCATCCCTGAAACCCTTGCCAATCTGCAGGGCCTGAGCTATTTGTGAGCTCCAATGCGCCACTGGGTTGGGTGGGCGTGGCGGTGAGTTGGGCGTGGTGGTGAGCTGGGCGTGCGATGGAAGTGATGGGACGAAAGGGGCAGGGGATGGGAAACTGTTCAAGTGGCTGGTTTTGGGGGAGGTGAGTCGTGTTGTTGTGCATGCTTTGTAACCAGTGTAGCTGGTGGAGCTGTTGATACCAAAAATGTGACCTCCAGATGGAATTTATTGGTTTCTTGTGCCCGTGTCACCTGGTTTGCATGGAAACCTCACTCACTCTCGTCTCTCAGTCGCTTTCGCACACTACACACAAATGTGCCCTTCACAGAGGTTCCTTGTGTTTTGATATGCTTTTATTGCTGTTCAAGATGGCATTGCAACATAAAGCAGAGACAATATTCAACCTGTATAACCACCCGTCCATGCAGGAACACGCCTCAGAACATGTTGAATGGTCCGCTGCCATTAGAGCTGTCTTCACTGCAGCACCTGGAGTACTGGTGAGATTCGTGTGAAGGTCTGGTAACATGACCTCGAATTTGCTGCAAGTGAAGTGTGGATAGCCATTCTGACATGTTATTGCGAGTTGCTGCTTCTCACTTAGCGAGGCGGCCAATAAGTTACCAGTGCTGAGCAGGGTTTACATACCTGTGTAGATAGCTGCTAATCAGCTATCTGAAGGTGCTATTCAGCCTCTCTCAAGTGCTTCATAAGTTTGCGTTGAAGGTTGTCACGAGTTGCTGAAAGGCGAGCTGATATCAGTGATAACGAGCCACAGCCACTGATGCAGTCTGGCAAGTGGGGTTTTTTGCCCTCATTCTACTGGCATTGGCAGATAATGACCGGGTCAGGGTTCATGAGCAATCCCGCTTTCCCTCATCGCACAGGCTGTTCAATTCCATCTGCTCCTTGTTTGCATGCCAGGGACATGAGCAGAAACCAGCTGGAAATGGAGATGCCTGCTTGGATCGGGACCATGACAGCCTTGAGCTACCTGTGCGTGCCGCCATGCACCACACTGCACCGCTTTCTGTCCTGCACCAGTCGTGCACTGCTCTACTCGTTTTGAGCCTCTCTGCTTTGCTTTGGCCATTGTGTGAAGACGCCTTGCTGGACTACACGCCAATCACCTCGTCAAACACACTCCTTGCAATGATTCTCATCCACGTCTCTGCCAAGAGCTGATATCATCTTTCACTTCTCCATTCTCTCTCTTTTGACACCTGCTTTCTGTGTTCTGGCTTGTACATTTCTTCCATTCTCCTCGTTTTGTAGATCTTACTCCTTATGCTTTCAGACCCGTCATCGTAGCTTGTCTATCGTGCGTGTCATTGATAATCAATACCATATTATACCGCATCTTGCCACATACATGCTCAACCACTCGTTTGGGTAGGGGGTGACTGTTGTATTTCAATGTGTAGCGGTACTCATGTGAAATACAGATGATGTCCTTCTCCATTCTCTCTCTCCCCCACCGTACTAGTCAGAGGAACTGCCACTGCTCCGCTGTAACAGATAAAGCTATAACGACTCAAAAACCCTCTCTCTAGCCCTCACTTTTCCCCCATTGCTATTGCTCTTTTCCCTTGATTTTCTCTTCGGTTGCCCGTTGCTCCCACCCGTCTCACTCTTTTCTTTCATGCTGTTCTCTGCCCCCTCACCAAGTTCAGTAGCCTCGGTTACAACCGATTCAATGGCTCAATCCCAGAGACGCTGGGCAATCTACACAATTTGACGCGCCTGTGCGTGAGATGGGGGAGCAGGGATGCACGGTGTGACGGAGTGCAGAGCAGTGGGGCCATACAATCTGCTGTTTCGTTGAGTGAGCGAGGGAAAGCAAGGGTACATTGGAGCGAAAAGGGTTCAAGTGCAAGGAAAACCGCAAGGGTTGCACTGCAGCTGTGCTGGCTTGAGAGGCTGGCATGGTGATTGATGGGGGGGCTTGATTCTGATGAGTTGCGGGCGGCCCCAGCTTTTCCGCCCGAATATCTCTTTCCTCATTGTTACCCTCCTGTTCTCTCTTTCTCCACACGTGCTTCCTTCCTTACTCCCCTCTACCGCATCACATTCGCCACTATCTTTTTGTTCCCTCTTGCCCTGCCCCATAACCACCATACCTCAGCGCCCTTGAATACAACTTGCTCTCAGGATCTATCCCTGAATCACTTGGAGAATTGACAAGCTTGGGATCACTGTAAGAAGGCAGGCTGCATTGAGGTTCCTTCCATAAGCTGTTGTGGGACAAGCCTATTCAGAACGGGCCTAGTCAGAGCAGCATGTGAGAGTGTCGGCCTCGTTGGCCTGGTATCGAGTAACAGCCGCAGAAAGGCGAGAGCAGCACATGCGAGATGCTATGACCAGGCCAGGCTGGACCGTCAGTTGGAAGAACCGTTGCAGTAGATGGAGAGGAAAGCACCTGCACCATTGTAGCACAGGCAATGGAGTCGCTTCTCATGTCGCGCGCCTGTTCCATCCCATGCCAATGCGTGCCACCTCATGTTACCACATGGCAGGTTTTTGGAATCGAACTGGCTGCTTGGCACCATTCCTGCCTCCCTGGTCAACCTCAGCCGACTCACTACCCTGTGCGCCCAAGCTCGCCCCTACGTTGTTTTCCCTCCAATGCTGTCTGGTTTTGATTTCTCACAAAAAGAGGACTAGTAAGCATGCTGAAGGACCGCAAAGTACAAACTACCCACTCCCATCCTTTCCCCTGTCCTGGCAACCGTTCAGGATATTGGCTAATAACCTCCTTTTTGGAACGATCCCTGCCACATTCAGCACACTCACTCGCCTCATGTACTTGTAAGCACGCACCCACAATTTTGTGTACCTGTAAGCACGCACCATCCATGCAGTTCCACAATCTCGTCTGATTCAGCACCTTTCCTTTCAGTCCCTCTGAAAGCCTCCGTGCCGCACCTGTGAACTGTCCTCTTGGGTAGTACTATGGCGATAATGTTCCTTCCTTGCCCCCGCTCACCCCATTTAGACTTCAACGCCCTCCGACACAGCCTCCTTGTCTTCATGCTTCCCCGTATGCCTCCCTGATGCCTCCCTGATGCCTCCCTGATGCCTCCCTGATGCCTCCCTGATGCCTCCCTCTACCCTCTTCTCTCTCCCATGCCTTCTGTGCGGGTTGGCGCAGCGCTGTGGAATACAACCAGCTGGTGGGGCAGCTGCCCTCCCTGAAGGGCATGCCAGCGCTCAAGTTTGTATATGCACGAAGCAACTTCATCACATCTGTAGCAGAGGCTCCTCCCGCATGTCCCTCATACCAGCTGCTGCTGGACTCAAACTGCTTTGCACGCAACCTCACCATCTGTGGCACCCAGCAAATCCAGAAAGAAGCTGGTTGGTGCAAGTGGTTCTGTGGGAACGAGCCCTTGAGCCCACCATGTAGCGGCCATGGGGTCTGCTACTTCCTGCCTGGGGTTACATCTGCTCCCACCTGCGCTTGTGATTACGGTTACACGGGTGAAACTCCTGTCACATGCACCTCAAAAGGTAAGGCCAGAAAGGCTGCTTATTTTTTGCTTATATGAGGAGTTGTTGCTGTTTTTGTTGCTGTTGTTGCTGTTGTTGTTGTTGTTGCTGCTGCTGCTGCTGCTGCTGCTGCTGCTGCTGCTGCTGCTGCTGCTGCTGCTGCTGCTGCTGCTGCTGCTGTGTCGTCGTCGTCTTTGTATGTTTTGTTTGTTTGTTTGTTTGTTTTTTGTTTTGTTTTGTTTTTCCTGCTTTAAAGCCAATTTGGTTTTGAAAGACTGACATGATTGTTGTTGACACTCTAACCATGTGATTCAGCTGTTAATCACAACCTTTTGGTTCCCATGCCGTCATTCCTACCATGGAACCCATGCACCATCCCACACTACCCACTGTTTTGCTCTCACACACCCTTTCCAACCGTCCTCTGCAGCCCTTCCTCTACTCATGCACCCATTGAAACCCACCTCGCCACAATCACTCATACAATTCTCACCTAATCCCGAGCATCCCTCCCACATTCAGGACCATACATCCCTTCCAGCCTCACCTCGTACGAAGACCCAATGACTCTCTTCCAGTCGGCCTCCTCCACCCCCAACGGCTCCATCTTCCTCACCTCAACGCTATCCACTACACCATGGGGGGCGGCCTTCACAGCGCAGCCCATCACCCTCTTCCTCTCCACCAACAAAAAGCAGCCCTGCGACCAGCCCATTGCCTTCTCCGTCTCGTTCACGTTTCGCATGACCCCTTCTGCTGCTACCTCTGGCAGCAGCACAGCAGGCGAGGGCCTGGCGTTTGTAATAACCTCAGCAGCACCCCAGGGGGCTGCGGCGGGGGTGGGGCTGGGAGGGGTGGGGAGGCGGAGTGTGGCGGTGGAGTTTGACTCGGTGCTGAGTGTGAAGCACAGCGACCCCAACGACAACCACGTGGGCGTCAATGTGGGCGGCTCACCTGTGTCCCTCGCCTCTGCCACGGCCCCTCTCATCCTCAACGACGCCCACACCAAGCACGCCTGGATCCACTACGACCCCACCAGCGCCGGCACCCTCCGAGTCTTCCTCTCAGCCTCCAGGCAGCAGCCGTCCAAGGCTGTGCTGACGGCCAGAGTGTCTCTCTGCAGCGCGCTCAAACCCACCATAGGGAGTGCTGCCTTCCTCTTCGGCTTTGTGGCAGCGAACAACACTCAGAGGCACGACATCCTCTCGTGGGGGATTGTAACTGGTGAGGACATCACCAGACATGTGCATGACCAGACATGTGCATGACCAGACATGTGCATGACCAGACATGTGCACGACCAGACATGTGCATGACCACAGCTATGCACCACAACTCTTTTTTTTTTTGGTCTAAATTCGAGTTTATTTTCGCACGCGCTGTGTTTTTGAACATGCCCCCTTGGCTTTGTGTGTGTTGTTTGTGTGCAAGTGTGTGTTTGCGTGTGTGTGTGTCTCTCTCTCTCTCTCTCTCTCTCTCTCTCTCTCTCTCTCTCTCTCTCTCTCTCTCTCTCTCTCTCTAATCTCCGTATATGGTGATAGATCAGAAGGTACACACATGCAGAGTATGGAGCAAGCAACAAACAACACAAAGTACCAATGCTAAAGCACCCCTGCTATCACCCTACCGCCCCTCTCTAAAGCTCCAAGAGAGGCTCCACTACTGCAAAACAATCCCCCAGGTGCAGCTCATGCCCAATCCCCCCCACCGGGGGGTTTTCTGCTGCTGCCGCCTCGCCCAACTTCATGAGAAGTCCCACGGATTGGGCCCTTTGCAGAGCCACCGACCAACTCTCTCTCTCTCCCTCTCTCTCTCTCTCTCTCTCTCTCTCTCTCTCTCTCTCTCTCTCTCTCTCTCTCTCTCTCTCTCTCTCTCTCTCTCTCTCTGTCTCTCTCGTGTGTGTGTGTGTGTCTGTCTGTCTGTGTGTGGGTGTGTGTGTCTGCATCTTCATGTGAGTACGCATAAGTGCAGGCATACTTCCAGCTGTGGACTGGAAGAATGAAGCCCCTGGTAAGCACAGCTACCCAGCGCTTCTCCTCGCATTTTCACAATCTTTTTTCTTTCATTCCAAGAGTTACCCTCGCCTTGGGCAACAAACTTGCCTTTTTTCCACGGTTAATTTATCCCATAAAAACCAGCTCCTTTCTTCCTTGCAACCTATCATGACCCACCAGGCAAAACATTTGGGCAGGTAGCATCAGCAGAGGAGGTGGCAGCAGGCAGTGAAGGTGGAAGTGTGCCCTCCACCTTCCACTATGCCAGCCTTGCCTTTCATGCGGACAGCCCAGCCATGGAGCCTTCTTGGAACCTTCCACCTTTCGTTTCTTGGATGCTAAATGAGGCTTCCTGGCCCGTGAAGAGCCAGCATGGATGCGGTATGGCATGGATGCGGTATGGCATGGATCCGGTATGGCATGGATGCGGTATGGCATGGATGCGGTATGGCACGGATGCGGTATGGCACGGATGCGGTATGGCATGGATGCGGTATGGCACGGATGCGGTATGGCACGGATGCGGTATGGCACGGATGCGGTATGGCACGGATGGATGCGTTATTGCATGGATGCGTTATTGCATGGATGCGTTATTGCATGGATGTGTTATTGCATGGATGCGTTATTGCATGGATGCGTTATTGCATGGATGCGTTATCGCATGGATGCGGTATGGCATGGATGCGGTGTGGCATGAATACATGTGGATTGATCGGTTATGCCATGGGGGCATAGGTGGAATTGACACCTCATCCTCATGATGGGCAATGATAAGACTGTATTTTCTTATGACAAATGAACTGGCATGTGACAACCAACCATCAAACAACCGCATCAGCCCTCCTTAATCATCTCATCGTGTCCCTCCCTGCACGTTCCTCCCTGCACGTTCCTCCCTGCGCGCCCTTCCCCGGGCTGCAGCCGACTCCTCAGCATACGCGGTGGTGGCGGCAGTAGAGGCAGCCTACAGCATCGCCAGCAACTGGTCGCAGCCCCCCCGGCTGTCGGTGGAGCAGCTGCGGGTGGCCCTGTCGTCCAACTGCGACGACATGCCTCCGCGCGATGTGCTGGCCTTCCTGGTGGCTGCCACGCGCAAGGGAGGGGGGCTCGTGGATGACGCAGCAGCAGCAGCAGCAGCAGCGGCCGCCAGTCCACACAGCATGGCGTCCGCCGGCCGGCGCGAGAGACTGGCCGCGGTGAGTCGCAGCGAGTGGTGGGTGCTGGTGATTGCAATTGCATGGAGAACAAGGTGAACAGGGAGGATATGGTTTCACACTATCGAGAGGGGTTGGTGAGTCACTGCAAGTGGTGGGGATTAGTTACAGCGAGTGGGGGTGGTGAGTCAAAGCAAGTGGGGGTGGTGAGGCACTGCGAGTGGGGGCGGTGAGTCACAGCAAATGGTGAGCACTCACGCTCTCTCATGCTTTGGGGATGGGTTGCTGGCATGGGATGGCTAGCTGTGTGATGCAAGGCAAAGGAAAAGTATGGATTCATGGTGCTTCGAAGGTTGAGTGCTCAACCCGGGGCTGCAGGCACTTGGGGAAACTGCTTTCACAATTCCCAAGCTCCATCTATACGTCTGGTGCTTGGTTTCCAAGATACAGCGTTTCACACTCTCTCTGTACCACACACTCCCCTACCTCATCACCCATCCTGCATGTCTTGCAGAAGGTCAAGTACTACGGAATTCAGGGTTTTGAGGAGACCTCCTTCGATGGATGGCTGGGTCTGCTGCTGGCAGTGCAGCGGCAGCCAGTGATTGTGCGAGTAGAGGCTTCCGCACAATCGTTCTTCGAGTATGATGGGGTGAGTACAACCATTATGTCAAGCGGGGGGGCGTTACGTTTCCGAATAAAAATGCAGTTATGGGTGCAATGCAGAGAAGTGGTTACCTATGTTACGTCACACATGTGTTGCGTCTCCCCACCCCCACCCCCCCGCGCCACCCAGACATACAAGTACGCGGACACCAGCTGCTTCCAGGAGGGGGTGAACCATGCGGTGCTGCTGGTGGGCTATGCTCTGGTGGGCAGCACAAGCAGCCCTTTCAGCCTGGATGGGCCACTCTGGGTGATCCGCAACTCATGGGGCAGCGAGTGGGGCGACATAGGGCACATGTACATGGACATGCAGAGCGGGCCGGGCGTGTGTGGCATCAACACACTGCCGGGCATCTTCCCCATCCTCCGATGTACGCTCAGTACAGTGGGTTCATGGAATGTCTTGTGTGCTCTTGTTTCTGCCATATGTGTCCCTGCTAGTACCACGTGTGCCTCGTGCTGGTATTTCAGCCAGGTGTGCTGTTTCCTGTGCAACGCTTGTTGCTGGGTCCCCAATGCCACTGGTTTCATCTGTCTTACCATGTTTCACCATGCCATTGGTTTCACCTGGCTTCTCTCATCTGTATATCGTGCGTGGTGTGCGTTCGTGGCAGCTACTGCCGATCCATGTGGCAGCAAGTCCGTGCTCCTGGAAGGCTCATCAAAAGTGGCAGGGAGCAACGCGTTCAACCCATGTGGGCAGTTCAAGTGCTCCAAGGCCGGAGCATCCAACCGCTGTGCCTGTGCTGCTCCCCACTTCGTCCAGGCCTCCCACCCCGACGGCTCCAACACCTGCGCCTATGGTGAGCTTCCTTCTGACCGCTCTTTCCCGTTTATCACTCACATCAACACCTGCTTCCATATCTGTCCTACCTGCCACTGCCAGTGGACGCCTCTGGGCTGGCAGGCAACAACCCACCCACCCACCCGCCCCCCCTTTCTCCCCCGCCCCCCCATTCTTCCCTGCCTGTCACTGCCAGTGGACGCCTGTGGGCTGGCAGGCAGCAACCCGTGTGTGGTGGGCACGTGTGTGAACGATGGCAAGGGCAGCTACTCCTGTGTGTGTCCCCCGGGGTTCGTTCAAGGCACCACCGCCAAGGGAACCCTCTCCTGCGCTCCAGGTACGCTCCTCCCCACCCGTATTCTCCCTTGTGGCTGCTTGCTCCTTGCTCCTGTGTGCTCCACGCCCTTTTTTTTTCTTTACCACTATACTCCGCTCATATGGTTGTACATTGAATAAGGCTGCATTATTTCTGTATGGGTGATGATCAAGCAAGTAAAACTGCCAGGGTTTTGCATGCTCGCTGGCCATATGTAGGACTCGTTACTTGTTACTGGTTTTGTTCTTAATGTATTTTTATGCTCATGTTGATGCTTTGCATGCAGGCGACAGCAAGGGCAGCTACACAGTGCTTGGCAGCAACGTGTGGTGCTCTCAAGTTCTGCCTGTGTTTGGTCTCACTTTGGACCAACTCAAGCAGCAGAACAAGGTGCGCATGCATCCCCTCATTCTCACTTTGCACACGTTTCCGCCATCCACAGTATCTCATAAATAGCTGTCAACCACCCTTCCATCCCTCGTACGTGCAGAAGCTCTCTTGCTCCAAGCCCCTCCCAGTGGGATCTAAGTTGGTTGTCAAGACGACTCAATCTCTTCCAAGCTGCTCGCTCTTCTACACCGTGCAGCTTGTGAGTGCTCCCATACCACGTATTGTGCTCCCGTACCTCAGGGCACACGTTGTGTTGTTGTATAATGAGTTGCATGGATAGCAATCTGCAATTTTTGCACAGCGGGAGCAAACTGGCAAACATGTATAATGCCCTCAATTAATTTGCTGTCACGTGTGCAGGGGGAAAGTTGTGTGACAATCGCTCAACTGTTCAATCTGAGCGACAGGTGTCCCGGGGATGACGATCAGGCATGTGTGGATGCGGTGGTGGGGCTCAACCCTGGGCTCAACTGCTCAGAGCTCAGACTTGGCCAGGCCGTGTGTGTAGAGCGCGATGAGAGCAGGGCAGGGGAGATGGCAGTGTGTGATGAGGAGTACCTTGTCCAGGTGTGTGGCGGCTGTGATGCTGTGATGGCGGCTGTGAATCCACCTCTGAGCCCATTGGAGTTCTACCGCCTCAACCCAGGCATCAACTGCAACTGCTTGTCGACCAATTTGGCGGAACGATACTCGCCACGCAAGGTGCGTACTCGATTCTAGTGCCATACTGCCATAAGAGATGCAGTGAATTACTCACACACCTGTCACCATGTGTGTCCCGATGCAGGTTTGCCTTGGCAGCAGCATAAGGTACAAGACTGGGACATGCCCGGAGGGCAACTACAGTGTTGTGACGGGAGACAGTTGCGCCATGATTGACGTGAAGGGGTTTTCCAGCATCAAGGGGTGCTATAGGAAGATGAATGGCTTTGAGTGCTTGGAGAAAATGCCACCTGGGACAACTCTCTGTACTCCTGAAGCTTCGGCTGCTCGAGTTGGAGTCTGCTCTGTCACGTAAATATCTATCTTCCTTAGATATGTTAGGTTACAGTGTGGTAGTTACTAAAGGGTACAACACTTTTCTCGACTTTGGTATTTGTACGGTACCCATTTCCCCTTAGTCTTGACATTCTGCAAAACCTACCATTATTGCCTGGATAGTAGACGTCTATGCCTTATCTCATAGACTGGAAAACAAAAAAATCCTAAGGCTATCTTGCAAACACAAGGTTACCGGCACGGGTGTTTTACAATTCTTATAACAGGATTCATTTTAACAATAATAAACGTTTTTTCACATTTTTAGAAATGGGTTCTTCATAATGAGTATGGATGTTCCTAAGGTTCTTACTTCGGAAACCATTGTTCGGAATGTCACATCATGATGAATGCTTTCTAAAGTCGAAATTACAAATTCAGAGTTAGCATGTGGACAAATTCGCGTTTCGCACAGGTAAAAACGTATGCTACGCGTGTTTCATTGAGATTGCTTGAAGCGAGCATTGTCGTTGAAAATGGGAGGCATGATGTTTGTTGAAGGTTTCAGCCTATTGACTGTGCAGAATCGTGTTAGAACCCTGAGCAACATCTTTTTTGCACTAAGTGGGGTTGCAAGAAAAATACTTACGGTATGTGAAGTGAGCGTCTCTTACAATTTTTTACGTTTTCTGTGGCTCTCACGCTATGCATTCTGCTTTTTGTTATCATATTCACGACCGTCACATGTTGTATAGCATTCATAGCAGGCCCTCAGATATCAGCGTAAAACACGCTGATTACGCTGATTTTGTAGCTCTGAATTTCGTTTTCCCTGAAAATTCAGCATATGCTTCAATTTTGCACTGAAATTTCAGTATAACCTATTTTGTTACACTGACATGAGTCACACTGAAACGGACTTGACGACGGAGGGGCGGGGGGGCGGGGGGTGGGGGAGGGTTGGTGGGGGTACGCGCGTACAGTCTGTACCTACCCGTGATTCACGAAACCCCACCCACACTTGGAATTTTTTCGCATGCGCTGCACAGATATCAAGTGCGCGCCGTAGTGTTTAGCCTCGCTGGAACCTAGCACAGCAACAAACAACACCACACACCCTGTAATCGTGTTTCAGCTACCTATTGTTTTTTTTTTTTTCACACTGTTGGTTCAGTTTACTTATAATTTTTACACTGGCAAAATCAGTATAAAAAAAACTGTGAACGCTGATTTGGACACCTGGTGGCCGGGGCACGCTGATCCATCAGCATACCCTCAAACCAATCTGAGGGCCTGATTCATAGCCACTTAGTACCACACCGTGTGTGGCAAATGGCTTCACCTTCCTAGTCTCAAGAGTCTGACTCATTGCATGTGTTGGATAGAATCCTATAATAAATGTTGAGGGATTTTAACAATCTTGGATAGATAGACCCGTATGCGCGGAGGAAGATACAATAGAATAATTAAATTGTGTTGATCGTAGAAACCATTACAAGAGAAGATATAGCTTGGTGAAAGTACCTATCGTAATCGCTAATGTACCTGTTCGAAGCCTTACAGAGATTGTAATACCCTTTCTCTACAGTAAAGCCCTGTTCGTTGATGTCATCATATCTAGTGAAGTGATATTCACAAAAACTTGACTCTCTGCTGTATCTCTTGAAATGTAGAAACAGTAACTTTAACTCAACAGCATGGTCTATGGCCTCATGGCATGGTCTATTGCCTGATCTCACTCACTTCTGCAGTGCAGCTGGCCCGCGCTGCCACCTCTTTGCCCCCAATTCCCAGAGTACTGTATCCCTGTCTTTTGGAATTTTACAACCTCCTTCTCCCTCTGTGAACAAGTTCCCCATCCCACATATTCGTTGGCTCTGGAGGAGTAGCTAACGAAGAGTTTCAGAACAATTGTACCATTGCATTCCACCTAACACAACCTCCTTTGCAGTGCATGAGCAACCA